CTTTGAACTGGGTTATCTGAATCCACACTGCCATATATTCCAGTTCAAAACAGATAATGTGGGATTTTATTAAGTTCCTAAGGGAATTAATGCAGTTTGAGATCTACTTGGGCCCTGACAAACAGGCCCTATATCAGTGGTTCTCAATCTGTGTGCCCCCAGATGTTTCGGCCTACAACTTCCAGAAGTCCCAGCCAGTTGGCCAGTTGTTAGGATGTCTGGGAGTTGAAGGCCAAAACATCTGGGGACCCACAAGTTGAGAACCACTGCCCTATATCCTGGGATCTGATTCCAGGTTTTCTGCATTGAACTAGATCATATGAGTCCCCACTGCCAGATAATCTGGGCTATACAAAAAACCTGAGATCAGATCGTGGGATACAGGGCCTGCCTGGAACGGCCCAAGGTGATCTCAAACTGCCTTAATTCTGCAGTATAGATACACCCTTTGCAATAGTTCCTCTTTCCGCAGAATTTTACTTAGGAAAGAACATGCAGAGGAGGATTAGCAAAGGCAATGAAAACTATTCTAGAAGAAGAAAAATGGGAGGCACAAGGAAGACAGGGCCAATCCAAGGACACGGCCGTGTTCACACGTACAATACACGTGTACCCGCCTGGCTCGGCCCAACCACTGCATAGAGCTTCCCCTGCCAAATGAGAAGCTGCGCCCAAAGCTACACAATCCTATGCAAGGCACAACCTTAATAATAACACATAAATGAACATAATAATAAACTCCACCACACTATCAGGCTCCCATRAAAAAACCCACTCGAGGCGCCCACCCCTTTAACATAGCCTGAGCCAAAGCCCTCTAATGGGCGCGGCCCCTTTAAGAGCGGCCTGTTCCATTCTCTTCTAAGAAAGGAAATCGAGGGGGGGGGGCGGACAAGGAAAAGACCAATATTGGGGGAAAGGGGGGGCACCCTCACCTTGGCTCCCAAGAGGCGCGCGGCCGCCCTACTGCTTGCAGTCAACAAGGTCATGGCGAGCGGCGACTGGCGGGGAAGGAGAGTCCAGCGGCCGCCTCAAGAGAGAGGGGGAAGGAAGGAAAGAAAGAGGGAGGAAGGAAGCAGGCTGCGAAGACCAAGGTTGAACAGAGCAGGAGGGGGAGGGGGAGAACAGAGCGGACGGCGCCGGATACACTCCTCGCAGCGTCGGCAGCGCGAGGCGGAGCGCGCCTCCAAGGCCCCAATCACTCACAGAGCCGCTCGGGTTCATCTGAATAGCCCCGCCCCTTCCCCTGGCGGAAGAGGGGCCACGCCATTGGGCGCGGTGGCGCGAGGGGCGGGGCCAGGCGGGAACTGGAAGGGCGGGGTCCCAAAAGGCGGCGGGGGGGGGAGTTGGCGTCTAATTCAGGTGCCTGAAAGCCCCGCTTCACTCCAAGGGTCGCCCACTTGCCTTCGCTGGATGGGGGATTCTGGGAGTGACACCCCGAGAAAGGCTTTTTTTCTCCTCCTTTACTAGCAATTCTAGTATTGTTAAAGCTTATGACGACTAAAATTTGTAGAGCTGTTAGCTCAGGAATGAAACCCCCTCCTTACAAATAAAAGCCCTTGGGGGAGCCTTGTGGTCCAGTCCTGTTTCCAAGTAAATAACTAGTTGAATGAAATCTCTTTAGAATTCAGAAATAGGATTTCGGGTCTAAGTGCCTGAAAAACATCTCTGTGAATTTGTATATAAAGTATATTTGGGTTTCTGTGAGTTTTCCGAGCTGTATGGCTATGTTCCAGAAGCATTCTGCCCTGACGTTTCGCCCACATTTATGGAGGTTGAGGGGGTCTGTTGGAAACAAGGCAAATGGGGTTTATATATATGTGGGAGAAAGAAATCTTGCCTGCTTGAGGCAGGTGTGAATGTTGCAATTGGCTACCTTGAGTAGTATTGAATGGCCTTGCAGCTCCAAAGACTGATCTGGGCCAGCTAACACCTCCCAACAAAGGATTCCCCCAGGCAGGAAGCAGCCTGGCTTTGAAGCTGCAGGGCCATTCAGTGCGAATCAAGATGGCCAATTGCAACATTCACACTTACTTCAAGCAGACACGAGTCACACCCTAGACATTCCACAAATATATACACCCCACTTGCATAGTTTCCAACAGATCTCACAACCTCTGAGAATGCCTGCCATAGATGTGGGTGAACTCACAGCAACCCAGTGATTCCAGCCATTAAAGCCTTGAATAACACTTTGTCTTGTCTGTTTGTCACACAAAAGTGGTTGCTAGGTGAAGTGGCCCTCTGATGTCATTGGGATAGAAAGATGGGAGTTTTTGAGGGGAATGAAGGAAAGAAAGAAAGAGCCATGTTACAATGGAGACATTGTGAGGCAGGCTGGAGAAAGGAGAGAGAAAAGGAATAGAAGGAAAGAAAGAAAAATACAGGAAAGAAGAAGGGGAAGAAAGTGAAAGGAAAGGGAAAAGGTATCAGGCGAGAGAAAGGACAAAGGAGAAAGCAGGATAGCAGCCACCCCTCCAACACCTGGTCAATGCCAGTATATACGCTAGTAATACTTTCCTCTATTACTAGTGTACATCCACTGTGATTTTGTATGTTGCATGGAGAAACAAGACTTTAAAATGCTCAGACTTGAACAGTCTCAGAGGTACGTTTTGTACTATTAGTCACATCAATATGCTGCATCCCACAGAATTGTTCTAGCAATCCTTTGACCCATTTACCACACTGAAATGAGTGATTACAGGGAAGCCTACTCTAGTAGGAGTGATAGCGCAGCAAATTGTTTTCATAGTGGAGTAGGGCTGTGGAGGTATTACTGGAAAGGAAGAGTACAATAATGCCCTGGCATATCTGCAGTATCGCACAAAAGGTACACAGAAAGTTAGCTCCACTTGGCATCTTCATACAAAGCTGCTGGAACTGCCCCTTGCTTAGCCTGCGGGTTAATCATTTAATGCAAAACACCCGAAACACTCGAGAGCTGTGCGTGGCATGCAACCTGCCCTGAATCCTGTAGGTATGTAGCTCTCTGAAGAATCCCATTGTCAGTTCTGAAGTAAGAAAATGGGCCCCTCCATTCTGCTCTACTTCAAGTGGACATTACGTTCTTTCTTTCCTCTTGGCAGCAAAAGTCTTGAGACTGGGCTACGTTATAAAAGGGAATACAAAACATATCTATTAGCACTGCTCTAGCATGGAACAGCACTGAGGGCACTATGTTAATGTTGACATAATGCTGGATCCTCCCCACCGCCACCCCTTGCTCGGCATATCAGAAATAAAAATGTCAATAAGAGTGACAACACAAAATTTACTAAACAATGAACAATATTCTATGAGCTGGACAGGCAGTGTCACACCATTGAACTCTGACTTCTGCCATTTGGGCCGGTGCCTCCCCATGCGGCATTCCCTGTCAAGCCTCAAACACATATCCTGCTGGTAGTCTGTGTCCCGGTGGCCCTCATGCCGCAAATGTGTGACAAGAGTACAGAGTCCTCAGCCTGAACCAGAACCAGGTCACTCTAGCAGCATTCCTTGTCCAAATGGCATTTTCATTCACTCCTTCTGTCTCATTTGAGGCAGTTATAGAAACACATTTTTTCTGTATGGAAGATAAGTGTTTTGGTTTTTATAAACTTTCTATACTTGACGGAGTGGGGTGGGAGGGGTAGTCATCCCATTTCAGCTTCAGTCTTAAAGAGAAAATAAATAACTACTTCAAAAGTAATATTTTACTTCTCTAACAAAGTGGCAGCTATAGCCGCCACATAATTTAATTCAGTTTTCATCCTAGTCAGCATATCCGAAAGTGAAGAAGTTATGAAGTTGCAATGCAAACATCTGGAAGGTTGCAGTTAATCAATCTTGCCCTGAAAGTTTATTTTTCTTCCAAGGTATGTTATCCACAGCTTCAATGCACATCAAACGTGATTCTGAGAGTAGAGATGAAATTCCTGAACATGGAAAGAAGCTGCCCTCAGGTTATCCTGGTCCTTGGCTATTTATAGCCTTAAATGCAGACCAGCATTTTGAATTGGGCTCAGGAGTAGACATGTGACTCCGGAGCTGCTGAAACAATAGTGAGATCACATGAGTAGAATATTTAACACAAAACAATATCCTGACTGGTGCATTCTGAACCAATGGAAGTTTCCAAAGATTTTGGAAACTTTTAAAGAGCAATTTAGTCTTCTATAGCAATGAATTATCCCCACAATATAGGATCTCCCCCACCTTTCTTCAGATTTTTATTTTATGAGTCTTCCAGTTGTGTCTCAATAGGTCACTTTTAGGAATATGCCCAAAAAATTCCTTTTCTTGCTACCAAACCTGCCCTACCATCCATTCACTATCGGCTTTTTCCTTTAGTTTTCTTATTTACTCCAAAAGCAGCAGTCCTGAAGCACTTTGAGAACTAACATTTAAAAGAACACTGCTTCAATTATTGTTAAGGAAATGAGCATATTCAGAAGAGGAGGGATGCTTGTGGCAACACAGTAGTTATACAAATGTATTAAATGTTGTGCTTAAGTTTCTTATTAATAAGTAATTTGCAATCATGATTTATTCTAATCTTCCTTCACAACCTACATTAAGAAGAAACCAGATAAGTTACACTATTCCATGGGCAAAATAGTAAGGCATAACATGCTTAGGTAGCAAGAGTTGTAATCCAAGGCTTAGGAGAAGGGAAATTAAGGTGGAGGAAGCAGAGAGTGCCATGCCATACCAGGCAGTTAATGATAAACAATTGAGAAAAAGGGAATTTAACCACATTTGTTTTTCTGCCTCCAAACATTTTAAGTCCTAAGGCTCCCAGCTATGGATCAATCAGGCCCTTCTACACCCAAAGATACATCAGATTCAGAAAACACCACCATGCCCATAATGGAAGAAAGCAGTAAAAAAATTCAGCTCTGCAAGGTACTTGAAAACCACTCTCATTACATGGTAATATGCTGCATTTATGTATTGCATTTTGATAATCTAAAATGCACCCCGGCCATTATCTTAATAATTTTTACAATGCCAGGTGAATCACAGCATGATTTATTTTCTTGCCATCACTGACAGACTTTTAATCCAAAATTCTGAAAATAAGTGATAAGAGGAAAAGATATCAAATGTTTAAAAAGCCCTTTGAAGAATATCATCTGACCCACCTTTCCCTAATTTTCCAAATGCTTGATGCTTCAAACCAGCACCTTCTTGGATTCTATAAAATGGACATTGGCCTTCCCCAAAGATCAGCCCATTGATTCAAAAGGAACCTGACAAAGCAGTTTCAGACTGGCTTGCAATCTAGCCCAGCTGGTTCATATGAAGTTCCCATATCACAGTGAACAATTCACGAAGGCCACTCTGATATTGTATGAAGACTTTCCACACAACACAACAGATCCAAGAAGTAATCCAATATATCTATTGTACAAACAATGTCAAATAGTTACTGGACAACAACTTGGTCCTCCACGTGGCTAGTCAACCTTTTCGCTCTTATGCCATTGATTTTCTTTACAGCAGCTCCTTGTTTGGAATGAATATGTGGGAGCCTTCTTCTATTATGCTCTTCCTATGCAAGAGGTTACATAGAGAAATGAAATCACCTGCCTAGTGTAATGATAAAATAGTAGCAGAATAATAGAACTCATAATATTCAATTATTCAAGTTTTAGTGAACTTTGGAGGGAATCCATGTATCGTGTGGCTAGTTCCTGACTCAACATACAGATTAATTCATCTGCAGAATGACAATAGCATTTTCTTAAAAAAAATACATATCACAGAATCATTGTCAATGCAGTAGAAAAAAATGAACCGCACTCCTGAAATGGAAGTTTCTTCTGTTCCAAATGAGAGGTTTTATAATTGCAGACTTTTACAAAAAGTCAAGTGGGGACACAGCATCTTTTGTTTTCCTAAAGAAAGTCTACAAAGAAGCTTTGCTCATGTTTTCTTTTGCCTGTCCAGTCGTTGGGTTTCCAGACCGAATGTAGCGAGCACATCCCAAAATGGAAAGGAGGTTTTTGGAACAGACTTAAAGGAGCTGGAAAAGGGGAGGTGGTCTTCAAAGAACGAATAAACCCATCCATCAAGCCTTTGCATTTCACAGTTCATCATGTGAGAGATGCAAGGCGTGGTCACAAAGATCTACAAAGGAAGCAGAAAAACAAGTAACTTAGTTCAAGTACTTGAACTTCAAGCTAGACAGGCAGACTGATTCAGGTTTACACAATGTCACAGTATATCATAGTAACATGAACTAGCAGTATGACTATATGTTGCATAATCCAATGCCTACCAAATGTATGACCTGCTAATCCACATAATGCCTGCCTGCAGTCATGTGTCCTGCAAGTTTTTTCATTCACATCTATATGTGTGGGAAATCCCAAGAGAGCAAATACAAGATGTTCTGAATACCTGATAGCCAAACAGAGATAGCGAGAGAAGCCTATGTTCATTTCAGTAGGTCTCAAAGTGTGTATATATTTAAGAGATGCATTCTCTTGTCTTCATCAAAACACTTCTCTCAATCTGGCTCCTCTTCTCAAAGCTGTTTGGGTCAAATCATTTTTCACTTGATGGAAAAAATATGGCTTAACCTCCCTTCTCTCTTTTGAATAGAAACTTGAGCCAACGATGACTTAGCAATTGCACTGAGGTCATGGGATTGTACAGGGTTAACTTATCTAAATACCATGAACATCATGAGACTAGCTAACTACGCAATCCCAACAGCTTTGGCAAACAGTCTGTATGGACAGATCAGGTGAATATGCAATTGATCTGGCTGCCAGCCAATCATTAAGGCCACTTCTGTCTGCCAACAGCAGCTGCCAGCCTCATCTTGTTGATCTATAACAGCATTAATGGCTATTAAGAAGTGACTTTGTCTAGACCTCCTCAGTTAAGTCAGCTTTTCACCTAAAACTGGAGGATTTGTGTGTTAATTCCTTGGCTGGATACTCTAGGAGGCCTATTATGAAACAGAAAGCACCACACACAATTCTAAGTGTCAGAAATAGGTGATGCACTTTGGCAGTACTGCCACCACATGCCTCAGTCCTCAAACATTGGAGGGGAAAGGTCAGGTAGAAACCAGCACAGTCAGGTTTGTTGTCCAAAAATAGCTCAATGCTACAGGAAGAGCCAGTTTCCTGAACAGCATGCTGGCAACTGGCCGCTGGACAGTCTTCTCGCAGGCACTGAAAATATGGAGATGTGGACAAAAAAGGAGAAGAAAAAGGCACTCAACATAAAATTATCTGCAGGGGCTTATAAAAGAAAATAATATCTCCGCATTCTTTCAACTGCAAATAATGTAGGTCTCCTGGACACACTGAGCCAGTAAAAGAAGTATAACTGCCCAAGGCCCAAAACAGAATACGAAGCTGTTTTTCAACAGCAATATTTTAATTACACTACTTAAAGTGTATTGCCTGCAATGCCAGGCAAGCAAATAATTCAGTCACAGGCCCCGTCTACACTACCATCTAATGCAATTCAACTGCATTGCAAAACAGAATGATATGGCAGTTTACATAAGTAGGTAAAAGTTTTCCTTGACATTTAATGTAGTCATGCCCGACTCTGGGAGGTGCTCATCGTTATTTCTAAGCCAAAGAGTTGGTGTTGCCCATAGACACCTCCAAGGTTATGTGGCCAGCATGACCACTTGGAGCACCGTTACCTTCCAGCAGAAGCAGTACCTATTGATCTGGTCACACTTGCATTTTTGAACTGCTAGGTTGGCTGAAGCTGGGCCTAACCACAGGAGCTCACCCTGCTTCCTGGATTTGAACAAGTTCAGCAGTTTAACCCATTGCACCACCAGGCCATAGTATTCCAAAAGAAAGTATGCAAACATCACATCAAACCGTCAAAGATTAATTACAACACACAGTTTAGTGTCTCAACTTTTAGATCTGTTTCTGGGTATATTTGACCTGATAATTCCAAAACCTGCAACAGTTTTCTCCCATCAGAAGATATACCATATACCACTCTTCACTCTGCTCACCTATAAATAATCAAGATATTTTAATGTAGTGTTTATATTAATATCTTTTTAAGTATGAAGGAAACATATTAAAAATAAAAGAAATGGACTACATGAAAATCTACTTATTTCATAACAAAAAAATTATAAATTGGTCTATCCAATGCAATTTTCTGAACAGTCCTAAAATTAAGACACCAAGGAAACAAATTGTTTGGTTGGATTGTATTATTATTTGGGATACAATCATAGATTTGAAATTAACTGGCAAATAGAAATTGTAAACCGCAACCTGAAGCAGCTTCATAAACCACAATTGTGCTCATTGAACTGAAAAATCCTAATGCCCTGACTTTACTGTGCCACCAGAGGCAGCCCCAGTATGGACATCAGAGGGAATACACAAAGCTGAGTACAGAAAGGATAAACAACAGAAGCCAAAAAAAGGTGTTCTAGAGCAAGGTGTGTCTGTTTGTCTTGTCATATTTATATCTCACTGTCCTTCCTCCAAGGACCTCAGATGTCTTCCTCCATATTTATACTCATAACTGTTCTGTATATAGATTAAGCTGCCAGAGTTTCTGGCTCAACGTTAGCCCAAACAAGGATTTAAACCTTCATTTCCCTGTTCTTAAGCCCACAGCTGTAACATTACACATTGGTGCCTTGTGTCATTCTTAAGTTTACAAATCAAAACCACAGTATACATCCTAAATTATTGTTAGTAGAAACAATTTAATGTCTAAACTTAGACATAGAAACAAAAATAAAGGACAGCAATGGAGAGCCTTTCTTTTCTCCCGAAAGCTGCATTCTCCACAAGTAATTCAGGATTGGGTGACTTACAGCTTTTCATATTTTGCTGGAATGTAGCTCCCAACTGTGCTGGCTAGGACTGACAACTACAACCCAACAATATCTAGAGGCCCCTCATGGTAACGTTTGGAAGCTGCATGCTGTGGTCTGGTGAGGTCAAAGTCAAGTGATGGGTAAGGAATTAACCCCAACTGGAGAAACTGGTGGTCTTGTTTCTGCCACTGTCAGCTGTTGTTCCACTGCAAACATCCTTCCTTTCCTAACTAGTGGACTACTCAACAGATATGTGAACTGATCACTTGCAAAGGGTTTTTCACACAAGGCTGGTGGGCAACAAGAAATTAGGTAGAGGTATTTTATAGGTTGCCCATTCTGCTGTAGGGCATGCAAGGGCTCAGATTTGACTTTTTGGCTAACAATGTACTATTTCTGTCTGCTAACAAACAGAATATATTATTCAGTGTTCTTGAGTCAGATATTTCTTGTGGGAAATGTACACATCTATTGAAATAAGATTTCTTTCACTTGTGTAAACTCAAATATGAACTCAAGCTTGTCTAGTACCATCGCCCGAGTGAAAGAAATCTTAGTCCATTAAACAGACAAGTTTGAAACACGTGTATCAAACAACACTTCTACTAAGAAGAATGTTCTTTACTTCATGTAATATTATGCACACAAGACACATTATTCTAGGCACAAGGTGCCATTTTAGAACATAATTATTTTCTCTCTGAATCAGGGGAATTCCTTTCCCTTCACATTATATGACAGCCAAGATTTTGTTATTGGTGTTGTTGTTATTGCAAGTGTGTATTTAAATTAATTGGGTGACATTTTAAAATTGATCAGGAGGTTTTTAACTGACCAATCAACTCAGCAATGCAGCCATACTTCCTATCCTCTGAACTACATAGATGGTACTATAAGCGACTGTGTATGCTTTCTACTCATAATGATGGACAAACAATTTTTTCAGTGGATGATCTCATGCTTACCTGTTCGTTTGCTGCATAGTCGGTCCTTGACATTTTCTGCCTCATGGGAGAAGAATTCTATGAGCTCATCTTCATACTCTTCAGCTATACTTTCACACTGCACACAAGATCCAAGGAGATCAGCCAGTCAGCTTTTTCACATCCCTGCTCCCCATCCAAAGGGTATACTAAGCAAGGCCATTTTTCAACCCACCAATGTTAGGTCAGATCAGAATTTCAATATACCAAAAAGGGGCACAAAGGAACATATAAGAGACTGTTCAGGACAGGAAAAGCTTGGGTAGGACCTTATTCACCTTTTATAGGAACCAAATATATGCAGTCACAGACACATTTAATGTTGCCTCTGAATTAAGAAGAGACTCCCTCACGTTTTAAATGGGCTGAAATCACTGCAAGAAGCATTCGTCTCTTATTACCCTTAGAACTCTAAATCCAGATGAGAATTTCCCCCCTGGGTACACAGAAGATTGTGTTACTTGGAAAGCTCTGAACAAACTGCACTCTGGTACCACGAGATGCAGAGCCAATCTTAAGAAATGGGGCTACAAAGTGGAGTCCATGACATGCGAGTGTGGAGAGGAGCAAACCACAGACCATTTAGTACAATGCAGCCTGAGCCCTGCCACATGCACAATGGAGCGACATCAGAGGCACTCCAAGTGGCCAGGTTCTGGTCAAAGGACATTTAATATAATGCCAAGTTTAACTTTGTTTGTTTTTTTTAATGCATTATAACTGTATTTTCAATTTGTTTCTGACACAATAAATACAAATAACCCTTGAAACTATCCCTATATTTTCAGAAGAGTTAGGCAATCTTTGTATGTAACCCATGCTTGTGCAGTTCTTTTGGCAGCCATGAAAAAGCCTTTGTGCCTGCTGATTTTGTTGGATTTTATTGAATTACAATTTCTACTGATTCTGGACACAGATCCCAAAAATGTCTGCAAGGCCACATATTTTCCATCTCTGCTTTACAGACTCCTTTTATCCTGTTTTCTGTAACCATTTCCTCAGCTGCACCCAGCACAGTCATGGATCACAGACTGTACATTCCCAAGTAACGTACAGTCAAATCCAGGAAAAAGTCCACACAACCAGGAAGATCCAGCACAGAAGGCATTTTTCCCTAGTAACCCACATCTACAAGGATAGTCCCTAACCAAACTTCATTCCCTGTCTTACTCACTGCAAACTTCAGGCTGGATGTTACATCACCATCAATTTTGGTTTCAGAAAGGTCCATCTTGGTTCCGTCATGAGAGATCACTCTCACATAGTTTTTCCGGTTGGTGGAAGGATCTACTTTCTCCCCATAGTCATTCATTTTCTCACAGACACGCTCCAACAATTCTGTCAAGTGAGCTTCAGATCTGGCATAAGGCACCTACAGGGAAAAGCACACAGCCTCAGAGGCAGATTGAAAAAACTTCACCATCTCAAAGGTTGTCCCCTGACATTAAGTCCAGTCATGCCTGACTCTGGCGTGTGGTGCTCATCTCCATTTCTAAGCCGAAGAGCCAGCGTTGTCCATAGACACCTCCAAGGTCATGTGGCCGGCATGACTGCATGGAGCGCCCTTACCTTCCCGCCGGAGCGGTACCTATTGATCTATTCACATTTGCATGTTTTCGAACTGCTAGGTTGGCAGAAGCTAGGGCTGACAGCAGAAGCTCACGCTGCTCCCCGGAATCGAACCTGCAACCTTTCGGTCAACAAGCTCAGCAGCTCAGCACTTTAACCCACTGTGCCACCGGGGGCTCCTCACCATCTCTACCATTATAAAAAATCCAGCCATTTTCCCACTCTACTACCAGTTGCTGGAGGTTCAACATATGACCTTTAGAGCGGTTTCACGCAACCTACCACTGAGGAGTAGCCAATCATTTGGAGAAACTGGACAACATGAACATAATCACACAAAAACAGTGTCATCACACACAAAAACAGGAGCCAACAGGAGCTTATGAAACTTTTAATTTCTCTGCTGTAGACAAATGCATTAGCAACCCAGCTGAAACTTTTACAATACAGTGTAAGGAATAAAACTCCAGAAATCCTGACTCCAGCTTTGCCTTATGCTCTCAGCTTTGCCTCTAAAGTTTGAAGATATTCAGCTACACCCCCAATTGTTGCTTGTACAAGCATTCATGATGTAAATGTTGGCCTTCAAATACTTCTTCCCTTGGGATTTGTAGATCTCAGAGAGCATTTCAATCACTGTATGAACATCTTCATTGTTTAAGATCATACATCTCATCAAAGGCGTCCTGTAATTGCTGAAGGAAGAAGGCAGGGCCTTCTGAAACCAGCTCGAAGCTTATGTAATTAGTTGTCTAAGAAGTAATATAAAAAAGAGCTAAAATTGTTTTTCTATTAGCCTTTTCAGAGGCAGATATGAAAGTACTGATGCAAACAGAGCTCTGACGTTTGAGGAACACCTGTCTGACAAGTACTTAGGAGGACTGGAATAAAAAATTCAATTATAATGCAAGTATAAGTTTTACCTCTACAATGGACTGGCTTCCATCTGGGTTGATGCGAAAGGAACCTATCTGGATGGTTTTCTTGGGGTCAACCTGAGAAATTTCCCACTCCAGCTCATCCACCAGGGCCCGGCATGCTTAAAGCACAAAGAAAAAGAAAAAAATGTAGGAAGTAACCAAGGCTGTTACAGTCAGAAATAAAATAAATCCAGGGCAATAATATAAAAAGCACATTCAAGGTAAATTGTTTATAGACCTTTTAAAAAAAGAACATTCCATGTATTTCCACCTTATCACAAAATTAAACCACATCAACTTCATCTCCTACCTAGGCTGATGAAGATAAAGATCTCAGGAAAAATACACCAAGTATTCCCTTTCTACTCAACTTCACATTTAATAGGTTCCACTTCATCATTTCAACTTCTCTCATTAGTTGACTCTTAAGGGATAAATCCAACTGCCTTTTCTTCCTTCCATCACACAAACTTTAACTCTGAGATTTACTACTAAAGTTAGGAATATTCCCCAAGTTTGTTCACTAAGCAAATGTTTTCCTCACAATATGGGAGAAGCTCATGGAAAGGTGCATGTGTCTGAAAACAATTTATTTAAGCAAGGCCTGTACAGAGGATTTACAACCTACATTAGAGAGACAAGAGTTGTACATAGTGAGGGGAAATCAATTATGAGAGACAGGTCTTACTGTATAGTGGGTTTCAGCAGAGGTTTGACCACTTCCTGTTTTATGTTTTATTCTGCTTAGCCACTTGCCAATCTCCATCCCCTCAGCTACTTTCATGACCCATGAAGGACAATATGCATGTCTCCCACCTCACCACTTGGAAACCACCATTATGCAGTCTCCCCAGAAGTTAATCCTTAACTATTTAAATAATTGTGAGTTAGCTGAATAATTAGGAGAGGGAAAGAACATTGTTCCATGCATGTATGGGAGCTATATTCAGAACTGAGACATGCCTGAAAGGGCTGGCAAACTGAATTCCATAAAGGGGCTCTTTTCATTCCACTGAATAGCAATGAAGTCCTCCTCTTAATATTCAAATTCAAGACACAAGCAAAGGACTTCACACACGCACACACACTGTATACAGCTGAGGTATATGTAGTGTGAGAAAATTCTGCTGCAAAAAGTAGGCAATATATATGATAAGTGACAGATCCTTTGGGATTAGGGTCTATGGTAGGAGTTAGATGAGAGACCACAGGTGGGTGGGTGGAGCCCGCTGCTCCTAGCTCTGTATCCTTGGAGGTTAAGATCTTCTGGGGAGGCCCTGCTCTCAATCTCGCTTTTTTCGCAGGTGCAGTCGGTGGGGACAAGAGACAGGGCCTTCTGAGTGGTGGCCCCTCGACTGTGGAACTCCCTCCTCAGTGATATTCGATCAGCCCCACCCCTGACTTTCAGAAAGAAATTAAAAATGTAGATGTAGGACCAAGCTTTCAGACAACAATTTTTCAGTGCAATAAGTGATTATGGAATACTGCAATGATGACTGGCATGGCTTCGGACTATGGTTTTCATCATTGGTTTTAATTTTGAGTTGAAATGTTTTTAACCTGTTGGTTTTAATGTATTTACTTCATGTTTTAATGTTTTTACTTCATTTGTATGTATTTTTATGCAGCATCAAATTGTTGCCTACTGTGATCAGCTCTGAGTTCCCTTCGGGGTGAGAAGAGCGCAGTATAAATATAGTAAATACATAAATCCTTATCATAAGGCATTCCCTTGCTTTACTTTTTGGCTCCATGCAACTGTGAAATGAGAGAGAGGGAGGAGAGACAGAACACAAAAAGAAATAATTCACGCCTGCATGCTAAGGAACAGAGCAGGGAGCTCCCTCTGGAACTCTCAAAGTCTAAAAATGCTTCAAAAGAAGAACAAAACAAGAATGCAAGTACAAAGTACACTTCTCCTTTTGAAATATCAGTACCTTATGATGTGGAATAATGCAACTTCCCCATCCCCAAAAAGCCTATCACATTTAAAAGATGATTGACAGTTCTGGAATCTTCTAGGAGATGCAATTCATTCTCTCTCGTTTTAAAAACTAGTAAAAGGACAATATGGAAAGTGACCCTTAAATGGCCTTTGGGGAGCTCATACTGTAGTGTAAGTACAGTAGCTCTGACGTTCTTCAGGAGAACAAGGATTTCTCGAAATGAGACTTAGTAGTAACTATGGATAACTTTCCCTGAAAGACAGTTTTCCCAACATACCAGTCTCTCTCGACAATCTGGTGTAGACTTTATGCTCAGGAAAAATCTCAGAAATATCAGTAGACTGGGCCAGTATGGAAAGAATTTTCAGAGGACAGAAAGTTTGAAAACAGCAGGCATAATCATTTTTTTTAGTATACGCTTTTTTTTCTTCAAATTTTACGTACTCCACATTATGAATGAAATCAATTAAAAATAGGCTAGTTTACCTCCACAGCGAAGATCTTGGCTCCTCCGGGCAAAAGCACCACTCAAGAGCAGTAGAAGGATTATGGAGCGGCAGGCCGTGCTCAAAATCCAGCCATTCATCTTTGTGGGTGTGGGCAAGGGCCACAATCTGCACAGAAAGTCAGACGTTGTGGAAGCTATTTCAAGCTGCTTCTTGAAACCCCAAATCAAATTGCTTGCATTAGAAGGAAAAACCACACAAAACTTCAAACTATGTGCCTGTGTCCCTTCATGCTCATCCAGGGCTTCTTTAATACAACATACTATGCTAAGCAGCCTTCTGAAAAGTAGCATTTGCTGCCAAGGCTAAAGCACAAAGTGCTCTTTGTGCAACTGTCCAAAGGCAACCGTTATTTTTGGTTCCTAGAAGGTTCCCTCTGCTTCTCTTACTGACTCTGTGGGATATATGTTGAGTTGTTCTCCTCATTCTATACCAAAAGTATTTCTTGTTTGTGTCAGGAGTGACTTGAGAAACTACAAGTAGCTTCTGGTGTAAGAGAACTGGCCGTCTGCAAGGACAGCCATCCAGGGGACACCTGGATGTTTGATATTTTATCATCCTTGTGGGAGGCTTCTCTCATGTCCCTGCATGGGGAGCTGGAGCTGACAGAGGAAGCTCCCTAGATTTATTTATTTATTATTTATTATTTACAGTATTTATATTCTGCCCTTCTCACCCTGCAGGGGACTCAGGGCGGATTACAATGTACATATACATGGCAAACATTCAACGCCATAGACACACGACATATATAGACAGACACTCAGAGGTTGAACTGCCAACCTTTCAGTCAGCAGTCCTGCTAGTACAAGGGTTTAACCCAGGCATCCTCAAATTGTGGTCCTCCAGCTTTTTGGGCCTCCAACTCCCAGAAGCCTTAACAAGCAGGAATTCTGGGAGTTGAAGGACCAAACAGCTGAAGGGCCACAGCTTGAGGAAGCCTGGTTTAACCCACTGCATCACCGGTGGCTCCACCAAAAAAACAATAATAATCCTGCATTGTTAAGCCACCAGCATCCCTGGCCTGCATCTTCCCCCAACAAAAAACTATATTTGCTAGCTATTTTTGTTATGTTGTTTTATGCTGTTTTAATTGTTATTGCTTTATTTTAATTGTATTCTGCCTGGGCCCATGTAAGCCACCCTGAGTCCCTTCGGGGAGATGGAGGTGGGGTAGAAAAATAAAGTTCTTCTTCTTCTTCTTCTATATCCCATCACCCTGCAAGTGTTGGTACTCCCTGACAGATCCTGTGCCAGCCTTACCCTGCCTGCTCCCCTCCGAAGGACATATTAGCTGGAGTAATTGAACTTGTAGTGCAATTGATCCCAAACTTTGGTCCGTCTGGTGGTTTGGACTTCAGCTCCCAGAAGCCCTAGCCAGTTTGCTCAATGTTTGGGAATGAATCCGTTGTAGTGCAAAACTCTTAGAGGACCATAGGAGCATCCTCTCTAACAATACTTCCAAGGGCCCTTCCACACAGCCATATAACCCAGAATATCAAGACAGAAAATCCCACAGTATCTGCTCTAAACTGGATTATCTAAGGGCCCTTCCACACAGCCCCATATTCCAGAATATCAAGGCAAAAAATCCCACATTATCTGAGTGTGGACTCAGATAGTTCAGCTCAAAGCAGATAGTGGCATTTTCTGCCTTGATGTTCTGGGATACAGGGTTGTGTGGAAGGGCCCTAAATCCACACTGCCATATATTCCAGTTCAAAGTGGATAATATGGGACTTTATTCAGCTGTGTGGAAAGGGCCCAAGGCATGTAATGCAGGATCTCCCTGACCTTCCCAACAACCCTGCAAGGGAGCCCACTGTGATTCATCCCCATTTGACAGAGACAATGCATGGCAGAGATGAAGTCCAACCCAGGATGTAGAATTAATGCAGTTTGGCGCCAATTTAGCTCAACGCGATGGAATCATGGGAGTTGTAGTTTCCCAAGCCCTTAGCTTTCTCTGCCAAAGAGTACCGGTGCCTCCCCTTATTCCATCGCATGAAAGTGGTGTCGAACTGCGTTAACTGTGCAGTGTGGGCGCACCCCTCAGCCTTCCTGCGCCTCCTCTCCACTTTGAATGCCCCCCGCTGATTCGTACAATAACCTCCCCGGTTCCCCGCACTCTGCTGCTGCTCTCACCGCGAGACCGCCTCGATCCCCAACTCCGTGCCGGCTACATCAGCGCCACCGAGGTGCCTCTCCTTCGCAGGTGTCTAACTCCTGCCTGATCGGACGTCTTCCTCTAGTCCGACTTCATCCGCTCCACACGGGAAGATGGCCCGCCCCGTTCCACACACCCTGGTTTTCCGCTTCTCGAACACCTTGTGTTGAACTCCCGCAGGGAAAAAAGCGGCCTCTTCGCAATACAGGCACATTCAAGACGACTCAATCTTGTTCGAGGACCCCTTCAAGGCCCTTTCGGCTCGCGTGGCGAACAGCGCGGTTGCCCGATGGAACGTGGGCGTGGCTAGAGCAAAGGAGGCGTGGTCAGAGCTGGGTTTTATTTATTTAGGGGCGTGGCTCCCAGTTAGCCACGCCTTTCCCGAGGACTGGCTTTTCCCGCCCACTGACAAAAAAAGTGTATTCCAGAATTAGGAAAGCTCAACTGGTCCCTTTCGGAGTGCAACGTGGCTATCGACAAGTGGATGAAACAACCTTCCTCTTTTGGGCACTCACACCTACACTGTAGAATTAACGCGGTTTCATATCACTTGTAATTTCATCACACTACAGAATGAATCCACTTCAAATCCGGTTTCTGCCTCCTGCAGAATTCTGGGGTTTATAGTTTAGTTCTTAGTATAGTATAGCTCTTTCCTAAACTACAAACCCCAGAATTCTGCAGGAGGCAGAAACCGGATTTGAAGTGGATTTTTTTTTCTCCAGTGTGGTGAGGCCCTTTAGAGTTATTCAATGTTATGGAATAAACTTGAGAGTTGTAGTTTTGCAAGGCCTTTAGCTTCCTTTGCCGAAGAGGGATGGCATCTCACCCAACTACAACTCCTATCGTAGGGAGCCATGGCAGTTAAAGTGGTGTCAAGCTGCATTAATTCTGCAGTGTAGATGCTGGGGAAAGTGCAAGGCAAAAGGAAGAGGGGCCGACCAAGGGCAAGATGGATGGATGGCATCCTTGAAGTGACTGGACTGACCTTGAAGGAGCTGGGGGTGGTGACGGCCGACAGGGACCTCTGGCGTGGGCTGGTCCATGAGGTCACGAAGAGTCGGAGACGACTGAACGAATGAACAACAACAAAGATGCACCTTGGGAAACCGTGTTCCCTTCTACACTTTGTGGTTCAGCTTGCCAGTTGTTTCCTAAACTATATACCCTGGAATAGTTTATACAGGTTGAGCATCTCTTAATCAGAAATCCAAAATACTCCAAAGTCTGAAACTATCCAGGTGAGTGGCCAAGGTAGTCATACCTTTGCTTTCAGGTGGTTCAGTGTGCACAAAGTGTTAAACATAACATAGGGAAAATGACCTTGAGGCTATGTGTAGAAGGTATATACTATGCATGGGCAAACTTGGGCCCCCCAGGAGTTTTGGACTCAACTCTCACCATTCCTAACAGCCTCAGGCCCTTTCCTTTTCCCCCTCAGCCACTTAAGCATCCTCAGAGGTGTGAGGTCTGTTGGAAACTACACTACCACCCAAGTAAAAAAAAGAAGCACAATTAAAGCCCTGGCAGACTCTGCAAAAGGAATCTGCAAACCCCTACTCCTTCAAGTGAACCGAACCACCTAAACCACCTCAGACACCAGAAGAGCTGCAAGACCGAGAACAAGCCATGAGAGTAAACACAAAGGCCCACCCAGAGGAAAAGTGTCCTTCCTATACATTAAGGAAACCACTGACCGCATAGGAAGCTGATGAAGAAACACAACCTACAAACAATCTACAGAACCACTAAGAAAATCCAACAAATGCTACGTTCAGCAAAGGACAAGAGGGATCTTCTCGCTTCTGCAGGAGTCTACCAGATACCATGCAGCTGTGGACAAGTCTACAGAGGGACCACCAAACACAGCATTGCCCAAACATGAATCAAGGAACATGAAAGGCACTGCAGACTAAGTCAACCAGAGAAGTCAGCCATAGCAGAGCACCTAAACCCGAACCAACCTGGACACAGCAAATTACTTGAGAACACAGAAATGCTGGACCACTCTAAACAACCACCATGTTAGGCTACACAGAGAAGCCATTGAAATCCACAAGCATGTGGACAATTTCAACAGAAAGGAGGAAACCATGAAAATGAACAAAATCTGGCTACCAGTATTAAAAAAAACTGTAAAATCAGGACAGTAAATAAACAGGGGGATTCCAGACAGGAAACAATCAGGGCCAGCTAACACCTTTTAACAAATGATCCCTCCTAGGCAGGAAACAGCCATACTTTGAAGCTGCAAGGCCATTCAATGTCAATCAAGGTGGCCAACTGCAACATTCACACTTGCCTCAAACAGACAAGAGTTCTTTCTTCCACCCTGGGCTTTCCACAGATATGTAAACCTCACTTGCCTAGTTTCCAAGAGACCTCACAACCTCTGAGGAAGCCTGCTATAGATGTGGGCGACACATCAAGAGAGAATGCTTCTGGAACATGGCCATACAGCCCAGAAAACACAAAGCAACCCAGTGATTCCAGCCACGAAAGCCTTTGACAACACATAATTTTCTTTCCATTTTGAATTCACTTTACAGCACTGAAAGTAGGCCAAAATTAAAGCAGGAAAGTGGGGGATAGAGAAACTGTGGACATTTAAGAAGCAGCTGAAAAAGTGGGAGAACCATCCCTGCCAAATGAGGACAATTGAAGAGTATAATATTCTTCAAAGCCTAGCCACATTAATCTGGATCAGTATGCAAAGGGATCTTGTAGCACCTTTGAAACTAGAGAAAGAAGTTTGTAAATAAGCTTTCATGGACTGAGTGTACTTCATCTGATGCATGGACTCACACAGGCTATCCTCCTTATTTTGAATTTACAGTTGAAAGAAATCCATGTGGCTTGGAGGCCTAGTTCAGAGTCAGCCCGGAAAACACACAGCAATCCAGTGATTCCAGCCATGAAAGCCTTCAACAACACATTTTTAACACCATTTCCATCTCCAGGGGCCCATTCATATGACAGTTACAGTGCTATGATTCTACTTCAACTTCCATGACTGCATCCTGTGAATCCTGAGAGCTGCAGTTGAGAGAAAGGCATTCAGAATTCGCTTGCCAGACTACAAGTACCAGGATCTCGCAGGATGGAAGCATGACAGTTAAAGTGGAATCGTAGTGCTATAATAATATGGTGTGAATGGGCCCCATGAAAACAACACCATGCAATTTCATTACAGCAAACACACAATGCCAACTTGAAATTAGATATGAAATAGGACTAAGGCAAGCTGTCCCTAATGTCATAACTTTTGAGAAAAAGAAAAGAAAAATGTGATACACCTGCATATGCCCCTAATGTGCCCACCCTTTCCATATCACTGAGGAAATCCATCCAGAGGCTGCATATAACTCACATTACTTCCCTTAAGACTGTCTAATCTTAAAACAGTTGTTACATGTCAAACTGCAATATCAACTGAGATATTGTTAGCTATGCTATTATGTCCGTTTGTCCTAGATCTATAAGCAAACATGAACACTCATATCCTTAAGTTTCAATGGAATCACACGTTTACTTTTACCAGATCAAGAGGCCAATTAAAATATTTATTCTCCAAACATTCATAGATACTACATTCAAATATCCACATCAGAATCAACAATAGTGATATTTCTTTATTTAAAAACACGCTGAAAAGCAAAACCCTTCAGTTAAGAAAGTCAAGGAATTTTTTTAAATGGAGATCAGAGGAGGCTAGGACCAGAACTGCTAGTTAAAACAACATTTCAGAATAGTTTAAAATATAATTCATCACTGGCTATTAACCCACAATTACAAAAAAAGTTAAGACGTTTATTTTGACCTATTGTTGGCTTTGGAGACATTGTGTTTACTTTGGCAAAAGTTGTAGTGTTAATATTTCAGCAGAGTCTCGCTTATCCAACCTTTGCGCATCCGACGTTCTGTATTCTCCAATGCAGCCTGCCTCCCGCCCAGATCCACAGCTGCTTCAATAGATTGCAATGTTTTGGTGCTAAATTTGTAAATGCAGTAATTACTACATAACACTACTGTATATTGAACTGCTTTTTCTGTCAATCTGTTGTAAAACATGATGTTTGGTGCTTAATTTGTAAAATAATAATGTAATTTGTCGTTTAATAGGATTTTCCTTAATCCTTCTTTATTATTCAACATTTTCGCTTATCCAATGTTCTGCTGGCCCGTTTATGTCGGATAAGCGAGACTCTACTGTAGTTTCCTTTCAAAACATGTATTATATTCTTTGCTGATGCAGGCAGTTCTTCTGTGATCTTTCAGATAACTGAAACCAAGACTTCTGGTGGACCGTGGGCACTTTACTTAAGTTGTGTGTGGGAGAAGCACAGTGAGGAGCACGAAGTATAAAACCTAAATATCCCACAAAACTTCTATAAAGCCACAGGGGAGTCTGTGAAGGTTTATTTCATACAAATACCTGGCCAACCCACGCATCCCCTGTGATTAATTACATCTAGCAATGGAGGAGAACCAAAATGGTATCACTGACCCCAATGAATGCCAACTCTCAAGACCAGCCACACTTAAGTTGTCTGTAATAAAACACCAGCCATGTTGAAGCCTTCTAAAATCAAAACAGAGACCCATTTCAAGTTCTCAGCGAAATAATCCACTCATTGAGCAACAAAATGTTGTGTTTCCTATGACAAATTCTTTAAAAAACGAATATTCTTTTTCTTGGCAGTTTTGCAGTACTTTTAACATACTTACATCTATAGAAACATGCCTGTAATACCAATCAGTATCATCTTTGGAAAACACAGGGTGTTCTTATGATCCCATTCTGGGATAGTTTTAACAATTGATAAGTCTGCCTTGGGAAAACTGGCATAAATTCTATTTGTTTGCTTCTGTGTACCTCCTCTGTACAAGGCCTCCTATAAGGACTAAGACACTGTTGGGCATTCAAACACCACCGTCTTAGCCCACAATTCTAAAACCACTCAGGCTAAAGCAGTTTTATAGATGTAGCCAACTAGCTATGCATCCAGAGTCACGTTTTAACGATTTTAGATTCAGGAACAGGAACTGATTCAAGGAGCCATGCCCATAGCACAGGAGGTACACAGAAGGAATTAAACATTTTTGGATAAGAAGACGGCAGGGCAGTCATTTTGTTCTCCTGCCAATACATACATGGCAAATCCAGGGAGGGGAGATAACAAAGTTGACCTGGAACATTTGTAGAAATACATTGAAGATCATATATCTTCCCTGGGCAGCATCACATGTTCAAAGCACATTTGAATGGCTAAACTTAAGTTGGTTTCACAGTCTCCACACCAGCCTGGTTCCATTTTTCTACTCCATATCATCTCCTCGGCCTCAGTACCAATCAGCAGGTGAGAAAAGGTAGCATAACAGACAGACAGAGGATGAAAGAGCTATAAAAGCACCCCTTAATCCCTCGCCTGTTATCTCTTGCTGCTTCGCCTTGTCTCTTTGCCATTGCTGACAGCATTGGAAGAGGAACCTGTCCCTGTTGAACTTCCGCTCTGGTGGTTGGGCTGACTCCGGGTGATGCGGCCACTAGTGGGGTGCGTGGGCGCAGCAGGGGGGTGTGCGGAGCTGCTGGGGCCAGAAGTGATCAACCCATTGCCATTCTGGTTGTCTGTAGCTGGCAGGAGGGGGAGAGAGAGAAAGAAAAGAAAGGAGAACACTGAACTTTTCTAAAATTTGAGGTTTTTGATAGGTTTGGAGGATTTAGCGGGGTGGGGGGTTCAATACCTATATAACTGGGCTCAGAGGGTGGACGCAACTGGCAACATCAACTCTTCCCATATGGGTTCCAAACAGTTTCCCCCCTCCTTCAAAATGGTGGCATGGCCCCCATGTACACTCACAATTTAAAACAGTTTCAAACCAGTATTGAAGAAAGTGGCTTGGTTGTGTAGATTATGACAAAGGAAATCCTGGAACCAGTTTGAGGCACAGATAGTGACGGCACAAACTACGAAACACTTATGTATATTAAAGATATTATTTCGTGTGCTTTTATAATTTGCTGTCTGGCTGCCCCAGTTTGAAGCTAGCTTAAAACTGGGGCAGCCAGACAGCAAACTATAAAAGCTAGCTTTGAAGCTAGCTTCAAACTGCATCAAATGGTCAGTGCTGCCATTTTGAAGTCAAAGTGTTTACTGGTTCAGTGGGATTTATTTTGAGGTCAATATGCAACAAGACTGAAAGCCAGAGTTTGAGATACGTTACCGTTTCTGACAATACCTCCCAAATTTTGGGAATTGTAGTGCAAAAAACTAACTTTCACAAACACTGGCTGCAGAATGCAATGCTGTTTTGCTCAGAAGCATATCTCTGTATGACAACAATATGGCTTTGGACTGTGTGCTTTTTTAAATGTTACTGCAAAAACATTTTAATTCTATTTTTAAAATGAAATTGTTTATTTTAATTGATTGTTTGTTTTATATGGCATTGAATTGTTGCCTGTCCGTAAGGCCACCCTGAGTCCCTTTTGGGTTAAGAAGAGCGGGGTAGAAATATGGTAAATAAACAGTAGGCAACTGTGGGAATATATAACCCTCTACTGCACTTCCTGGGCCTAAAGAAAAGTATTTTGAAGCTCTAGAGGGCACGAAAATAGTCCAGTTGGTGCATTCTGCTCACCTTTTCTCTGTACACATGGGATTTACTCTCTGGTAAGCATATAGTCCACCGTGTTCAATAGGACAATGACCCCTCCTACTTATGGTGAAACAAACCAAATTGACCAGACATGACTTTTGTTCTCCTCAGATGAGTGGCGTGAATGTACTAACTGCCTACCTGCCGATGATGTGGAGGGTCCTGGCGCAGTCTGGGGGGCTGTGGGGGCTGCGTTGTCATTTTGTGCCTATGAGAGAAAGTCAAAGATTGCTCACATTATTAATGCAGATTTCATAGACACAAGAGGACACTTGGACAAACAAGTCTCACCAAAATAGGTTGAATGGCAATATAAATTGCACAATTAGGGATGGGGTGCAGAGTCAGGGATAAATGATACAAAAAGCTTACAACCATTTGGAATATCAGGGCATATAGAGGAAAAGGAATACAGGCTCCACAAAATACTTGTTAAATGTCTATAGTAATATAGGTAGGCCAGGGAATTTTGAAGTTATCATCTTGGGCCCTTTCACACTACACATAAATAGTGTGAGAATTCCATTTTAACTACCATGGCAAGCTCCTAGGAAAGCCTCAGGTTCTGGATCCAAAAGGCAGCTTCATTAAGCTGATTCCTAAATTGTTAAGATGTATAATCCTTAAAACTCTACCATCACAGTTGTTGTAGGTTTTTGGGTTGTATGGCCATGTTCTAGAAGCATTCTCTCCTGAAGTTTCGCCTGCATCTGTGGCAAGCACCCTCAGAACCTGCATCTGTGGCAAGCATCCTCACAACCTTTGAGGATGCTTGCTACAGATGCAGGCAAAACTTCAGGAGAGAATGCTTCTAGAACATGGCCATACAACCCGAAAAGCCTACAACAACGCAGTGATTCCAGCCATGAAAGCCTTCGATACTACTCTACCATCACATTCCCTTTCATAGGGCAAGGAATAATAATAATAATAATAATAATAATAATAATACAATAATAATACAATAATAATACAAATAATAGTGGTGCAGATCTATCTTGTGACTGGGTTAGAAATAGTCTGCAATGATAAATAATCCTACTATCAAAATGCATTCCACTTCCCAAACATCATTCAAGGCAATACTCACATTTTTGTTTTGTGACTGCTGAGCAACATACTCTGGGTTTGGCTCACTAAAATTTGGCACTTCTGAGTAAACCATACAAAACCTGAGGCACAGAGACAACACCAATTACATAAGCAACCATCACACCTTTAAACCATTTCAACACTCAGTATGTAGCATCGTGATTTACTGAAGCCATTTTGCACTGCACTTCAACCAAAAGAGAGTCCTTACAGTTAAACTCCAAATCTAAAAAGCTCAACATAAAATAAAAGGGAGATGGAGGGAGGAGAGAGAAGCCCTTCCCTTGGAGGCCCAACTAGCACCCACACTGGTGTCACTCTGGCACCCCCTAAAACAGCCATGGGCAAGCTTTGCCCTCCAGGTGTTTTGGACTTCAACTCCCACAATTCCTAACAGCCGCTGAAGTCCAAAACACATGGAAGGCCAAAGTTTGGCTATGTCTGTCCTAAAACATTATTTTTTAGTACTAGAGACTCCTACTATGTAGCCTACCTATTTAATTCAAACCTGCACATGTCCATTACTTGAAATTGTCTTAAGCTTCTTCAAGTGACAGATTTTAACTTCTTAAACTGTTAATTTAATTTTCGTCTGTTAAAATTATTTTCCCTGTTTAAACTGACTTTGTTATATGCCTTCCTAAAATCCTTGGATATTAAAATCTTTTAAACGAACCAGCTAAAGACACTCACGCCAATATTCTGTGATCTGAGCTGAGGCTGGATGGGTTCAGCTCCTAATGATAAATCTGATCCCCCCTCTAATGGGACCCTGGGCCACCAGTGGCCAATCCTCAACTCTGGAGAGCAACATCGGGATAAGGACTTACTCTCCAACTTTTTGTAGGTCTCCTCCGCGTCCAGAATACAAGGTCAAGCAGCCTTTGAAAACAGTTGCATACCTGATAAAGGAGAAATGCACAATCAAAAGCAGCATGAAACTCCTTTAATAGAGAAAATATGCTACTTTAATTTAGAACAGCTGTTCTCAACCAGTGGGTCCCTGGGTGTTTTGGCCTACAAATCCCAGAAATCCCAGCCAGTTTACCAGCTGTTAGGAATTCTGGAAATTTGAGGCCAAAACATCTGGAGACCCACAGGTTAAGAACTGATTCAGAGCAAAGCATGCATTTTCAAGGTGCATTGAGAAATGAACAGAACACTGTTATGTAGATCACAACTAGGGAACTATGAGCCTATCTGCATGGCATAGTGGTTTAGTTGTTGGACTAGAACTGCAAGAAACTGAAACCTCATTAGCTCATTGAGAGCCACCTTGGGCAAGTCATATTCTCTCAGCCTCAGAGGAAGGCAGGGGCAACCCTTGACAAGAAAACCTATGATAGGGTCACCTTGGAGTCACCAAAAGTTGGAGGTGAAAGCACACCGCTACCACAACAATAGCAACACCTTGCCCCCCAGATGTTATTGCTGGCATGGGGAAACTTCAGCCCTCCAGGTGTTTTGGACTTCAACTCCAACAATTCCTAACAACCGGTAGGCAGTTGGGAATTGTGGAAGTTGAAATCCAAAACACCTGGAGGGCCCAAGTTTGCGCAGGCCTGTGTTAGTGGTATTCACACTCCATCATCCCTAGTCAGCACAGCCAAGAATAAGGATGACATCTAGAAGCACACAGGCCACATTTCTCATCCACCTACACTGTGCATGTTAATCCACCTGGATTCCCATTTTAAGTAAATACATTTTCTCTGTAGTTCTGGATAAAGGTGTGTATGATAAGGGAGAAGTCTTTAAGTCTCACTAAAAGCAAGATGAGTCACTCTGTGTTCTTATGCCATTTCATTTAGGAGTAGGAATCATTGAATTCAGTATGACATGCTTTTGGGCAGACATTTAGGAGTGCTTTGTTCAGCTTCCTTGCTGCAAGAGTTGACATCAAATCACTGAAAAATGGTTTTTCAAGGATAGCTCTCTAGAATAGGTGGACAACTGGGAACATGGCAGTGGCCATTCGTTCTTTTGCACTTGCCTAGCCAACCACAGCAGCACATTTCAATTAGTCACCTCCAGTGGACATTTTGACCAATTTCCCCCCTTTTTCCTGTTTTGGAAAGGTGGGAGGACCCAAGGGAGCAAACTATTGCCTTTTTGGGCAGTGTTTGAACATTTTGGGTGGCCTGCGGATCTTTTGGATGGTTTGGGGAGAAATCACTCTAAAATCAGTCCAATTTTTAATGGAGAGGCTTTGAGGAGTTTCTGAGCAATCCCAAGGTTTGCATTTGGGGCTTCAAGAGCTGTATGTATCCACCTTTGCTCTTAAAATAAGCACTTGCTATAGCCATCACCAAAACTGGCTGGCAAAGTCTGGAAGCTGCAGAAGCAAAAGAAAGAACCTTCTCAAGTTCTTATCACCACGGCAACAATGCTGCCTATTTCGTCTGCCTGAACTGCCAATCGGTACCTGCCTTGGCCACTGACTGAGCCTTAAGGGAGCTGCATTCCAAATCACCTATTGGCTTTGGTACTGACACAGGCCAGTGCGTAGTGAAGCTGAATAGGACCAGGAACAGTCCAATTCAAATCCCCCTTTCGCTTGGATTAGTATCCCACTCAACCTGACCAAAATTAAACAGTGTTAAACAACTTGGAAGAAAGGCAAGATGGAAATGCCAATTTTGCAGCTCTGTATCTGAACAATTTCATCCTCTTTATCAGGCCATGGCAACATCTGGCTGTGGGTTGCATGGGGTCATTCATGCCCCAGTCTCTGCAATATTTTTCAAAAAGTATTTGGATCATTTCCCCCTCTCAAACCCACCTGTCTGGAGTTGTTCTCATAACTCCAAAATAATAAAGTTCCTTTAAAAATACCTGAAAATTGGCTAAAAACAAAACTAAGAGTGATGTGATGCCACTTTCAGTCACCCATCCCTTTCTGAAGTTCCTTACCCCTATTCAAAATTATCCATACCCTTTGGTGAGTCGGATTATGTCTCCCGGCTGGATTAGGTTGCCAACATCATCCCAAACTGAGATGTTTATGCTGCCACTTTTGTCGGCTACTTTGCATGTCCGCACTTCATGACCATCCTTGGTCTTGGTCACTCTGCCTGGTGATAGTAAAGTTACCATAAGTCAAGAGAGCAAAGAATGGATTTCAGCTTTTGTGCCAGAAGGATAGGCAGAAGCAAAGATGGCTCCATCCCAATTGCATTCCATGGGAAGACTTTCATGGGACGTCCTTTAGCCCCAGAAAGAAAACAACAAAGAACATATTTATTTAAAGATGGAGAGGAGAGTGTTCTCGCAAAAAGTGAAAAAAAACAATCCAAAAAAAACCAAAACAGACAGGCATGTGATGAAATACATGCAATATATATTAACCAAATAATATTTTCACAAGCAGTGAGGGTCATGACTGGTAGCTAACATCAAGCACGTACACATACACACAAAATGTAAAGTACTGTACTAAACCTAAAAGATAAAGGTTTCCCCTGACATTAAGTTGAGTCATTTCCGACTCTGGGGGGTGTTGTTCATCTTCCCATGTTATCCATACACGTCTCCAAGGTCATGTGGCTGGCATGACTGCATGGAGTGCCGTTACCTTCCTGCACAAGCAGTACCTATTGATCTACTCACATTTGCATGTTTTCAAACTGCTAGGTTGGCATAAGCTGGGCCTAACAGCCGGAGCTCACCTTGCTCCCTGGATTCGAAACACCAACCTTTCGGTCAGCAATTTCAACAGCTCAGCAGTTTAACCTGCTACACCACCAAGGTGCCCAGTAGATAGGTACTATACCTATCTATACATAAATACAAATACTGTACAAGAAAAAAAATCTAGATTCCTCCGTAAGAAGTATTCCACTTGTTGACACATGATGACATGCCAATCTGCTTCCTAGCTTTCCCAAATCCTATCCGCAATCAAACCGCACTGCCTTTCTCACATAGGTTATGATATTAATTTACCTAGGGGTAACTAAATAGAAATTACTTCAGAGTATACATGATTGTACTGTAAAATGACACTGATAGACAAAAGCCCTGATGCAAACCATGATTATTAAAGGAAAGCAATGAGACAGTATACAAATAAATAAGCACATTGGGTTTCCAACTACCTTGCCAACTACTACTAGCCACCTTCTTTCCTTTCACAGAGCACTCACCTGTTTCCAGCACAATGAAAATAAGATTTAGGTTTTTCAAGCCTGGTTTGATATCCTTCACCAGTGTTTCTGTTGTCATGTTGAATGGCTTTTGATTTCCAGTGTCTAAACAAATAATTGTGATTGTTGAAAGACTTCACAAAAAGCAAGTAGAACAAACAAAATCATGTTGTCTACAGCGGACAATGTTTTTATTTTATTTTAACACTGAATCATTGTTAGTTCATCCTGAACCCTTTTTATACTAAGGGCATAGAAGATCTATTCCATACTGTCCAGATATGAGTGGTTCATTCTATCGTTAGATTTCCACAAATCCCACAACCACAGCTAGTACTCTTGGCTTGCAGATTGAAGTATCTATAGTTTTACTACTTTTTTAATCTACCAGGGAAAAAACCTAAACCAATAAAAAAAAACCTGGACAGAATCATAAGCTCTTCAAAAGTATGCCTACAGTGGTGGTTGAAAATAATATTTTATTTGTTCATAATCTGCTTTGTGTTTAAAATAATAAAAGTAAAGGAAGACTTTGGGCCTTCAGGTTCTGGAATCTCACCTCCCAGCCGTATGAGATAATGGGAGTTGAGGTTGAAAACACCCAAAGAAAACAAGGTTCCCAATTTTAATACCAAAAGTGGACCCAACCCCTTTTCAAACAGCAAATCTGTTGTAAAAATATTCATGAAAAATATGTAGATGTCCAGAGGCCTTTCCACACAACCATATAACCCAGAATATCAAGGCAAAAAATCCCACAATATCTGCTTTGAACTGGGTCATCTGAGTCCACACTGCCATTTATTCCAGTTCGAAGCTGTCTTGACTTATGGTAACTTTACTATCACCAGGAAACAATATAGGCCAACCTTCTACTTATACATTAAAATGTTGAATTCTCTATATTTAAAATAGAGATGGCTAAACTGTTTCTAAAATGTAGGGTCTTTCCAGAGAAGCCTCATATCCCAGGATCGGATCTCAGGTTTTCTGTTTATTCTAGTTTATCTGGCAGTGCGGACTCATATAATCCAGTTTAAAGCAGAAAACCTGGGATCTGCTCCTGGGATATAGGGCCTGTCTGGAAGGGCCGATACATTATTATTTATTTATTTATTTATTTATTTATTTACTCCATTTGTATACCGCATTTATCAGCCTGGGACGGCGACTCAATGCGGTTTACAGTAAAATGTGCAACACTGACAATATATAAGACAGACATACACAGACAACACACATATAGTCATCAACGCCTCAAATAGAATCAGATCCCGTTCTCACAGTCGTTTTACCGTTCCTTGTTCAGTATGCCGTCTTCCTGAGTTAGTTGTAATTGCATAATTATCTGAACGCCTGTTCATAGAGCCACGTCTTAACCCTCCTCCGAAACGCCAGTAACGAAGGGGCCTGCCTGATGTCCACTGGTAGGGCATTCCATAGCCGAGGGGCCACCACCGAGAAGGCCCTGTCTCTCGTCCCCGCCAACCGCACTTGTGATGCTGGCGGGACCGAGAGCAGGGCCTCCCCGGACGATCTTAACGTCCTCGCCGGTTCATAGGTGGAGATGCGTTCGGAGAGGTAAGTGGGGCCGGAACCGTTTAGGGCTTTATAGGCTAAAGCCAGCACCTTGAACTGTGCTCGGTAGCAAATTGGCAGCCAGTGGAGTTGGCTCAACAGCGGAGTGGTGTGCTCCCTGAGTGCCGCTCCCGTTAGCAACCTGGCTGCCGAGCGCTGGACCATCTGAAGCTTCCGGGCAGTCTTCAAGGGCAACCCCACGTAGAGCGCGTTGCAGTAGTCTATACGGGATGTGACAAGAGCGTGGACTACCGTAGCCAAGTCCGACCTCCCAAGATACGGGCGCAGCTGGCGCACGAGCCGAAGCTGTGCAAATGCTCCCCTGGTCACCGCTGAACCCTGGGGCTCCAGGCTCAGCGATGAGTCCAGGGTCACACCCAAGCTGCGAACCTGCGCCTTCAGGGGAGTGCGACCCCGTCCAGCACAGGCTGTAACCCTATACCCTGTTTGGCCTTACGACTGACCAGGAGTACCTCTGTCTTGTCTGGATTGAGTTTCAATTTGTTCACCCTCATCCAGTCCGACACAGCGGCCAAGCACCGGTTCAGGACCTGGACAGCCTCCTTAGTAGTAGGTGGAAAGGAGTGACAGAGTTGGACGTCATCTGCGTACAGATAACACCGCACCCCGAAACTCCGGATGATCTCTCCCAACGGCTTCATGTAGATGTTAAACAACATGGGGGACAATATTGAACCCTGCGGGACCCCACAAGTCAATGGTTGTGAGGACGAGCAGTTGTCCCCCAGCAACACCTTCTGGGTACGATCCTCTAGGAAGGACCTGAGCCACTGTAAGACAGTGCCCCCCAGGCCCATTCCCACGAGGCGCCCCAGAAGGATACCGTGGTCGACGGTATCGAAGGCCGCTGAGAGGTCCAGCAGAACCAACAGAGACACACTCCCCCTGTCAAGCTCACGCCGGAGATCATCCACTAAGGCGACCAAGGCTGTCTCGGTACCATGTCCCGGCCTAAAGCCAGACTGCGCCGGATCCAGATAATCAGTGTCTACCAAGAATGCCTGGAGTTGTGAGACCACCACACGTTCCAGGACTTTGCCCAAGAAGGGAAGATTGGAAACAGGCCGATAGTTGACGAATTGAGTGGGGTCCAGTGATGGTTTTTTCAACAGCGGTTTTATAACAGCTTGTTTTAAGCTGGCTGGAATTATGCCTTCCCGAAGGGAGGCATTAACCACCACCTTTACCCACTCGGCCAATCCCCCTCTGGCCTCCTTTAGAAGCCAGGATGGGCAGGGGTCTAGGATGCATGTGGTTGCCCTCATCCCTCCAAGCACCTTGTCCACATCCTCAGGTGTCACAGATTGAAACGAATCCAACAAACTCGGACAGACAGGTGTTCTCGTCACATCCTCAGAGACTGCCGTTAACATGGTGTCTAGACCTGAACGGATCAAAGCGACTTTGTCCGCAAAGAACCGAGCAAATGCTTCACAGCGGGCCGTCTAATGCAGGTTAATTTCTGGTGGGGGTCTGTTGATGAACCGGGGTGCAAATGCTCTATGATGCTGCACCTAGAACAAAGGAGGCTTCCCGTGTTCCATTTTGAACAATGGGGCCAGCGCAGTGGGAAGCCGTATGGTGACACTTCCCTTCATGTGATGGGGAAGCAGCGCTGCCAGCAAGGCGTTGTGCTGCAATTGTCCCACTGCTCCTCCTATTTGTCATGGAGGCTGGCGAATTGCCCTGCGAAACCTCATCAATGTGATGAGCTCCTTATACATGAGGAGAAGTCTTTGCAAAGCAAAGAGCCATTGCTTAGGGAGATATCATTCTTCACACACATTATCATGTCAGACAGATCACTTTGCTGCGAAGTGTGCTGGCGCATTCAACTGTTGGTCATCAAGCACTGAGTGAGTAATCCAATGATGTGCAAAACAGTTTCACCATTTCATTTCAAATTCTAGTTTTCCTCCACTGTCTGTCTGAAAGAGTCGGATATTTTAAGAGATGATTTGGCCTGCCTCCATGTAGAGGGTGTCTTCTAGTCAGTGAGCAAGAAATTTAAATGTTTCTCCTTGGCTGAGTGCACTTTCCTTTAGTCCCATTCAAATTGCACTGGGTATGCAGTTGGACATGAAGTAAGCAAAAACAATGATCACAGATAATTTATATTCCATTGAAGTAGACATTAAAATGATTCAAGATATTTTATACTGCAATCAAGAAATCAGAAGATTAGGACTTGGAAGGACAACTATGAAGGGATGAGACGAGATTCTAAATTTCACACACATATATAATTTTAATACTAAAGTCAGGATTTCCAATGTCATTGTATTTATTATATTTATGTATTGTTGTAAAGGCTGGACAGTGAAGAAAGGTGATAGGAAGAAATCAGTGCTAGAGTAGATTTCTATAGATATTATTGATTGTGTCTATAGCCAGGGGCGGCTCGTCCATTATGCGAAGTAAGCAGTTGCAAAACACTTTTTTTTGCCAGGGGTGCAGAGGCGCCTCTGTAAATGCCCCTCGACCGCCACTTGAGGAGCGCCCC